AGAGCTGCCAGATGTCAGAGTAGTTGCTGAAGACAACAAGCCACATACTACAATAACACAAGTAAAAAGGGTAAGCACCCACCCAAGAAGAGCACCCACTCAATTCTGTTCCTCTTCTAACCATGCAGACAACCAGAGAAAATGCCTCGTTCTAGAAAGGTGTTAGAGGAAACCGCGCTCTAACATTCGAAGGGCCAGTAGGTGCAATTGTATGGCAATCATATATAAAGAGTATAGCAAAGTCGGAGAGGATAGGAAAGATGGGAGAGTGCATAAAATAAAGGAGTCAGACACATGTTATGGTAGCATGCTCACCTCAACCCCTCTTGGTGCATGTGTAAGTGGGAGAGAAGGGGGTGGGGTCTTTACTATCTTGGGATATTTATAGGTAGCCAAAAGACATGCATATTCAGCAGTTAAATACATCACAAGGTGGGTGGAATCCACAGTAAGGTCCCTGAGCTCACAGGTAAGGAAACCTAATACCTGCATTGGGGGAAGGGATGAGTGGGGCTGGGTAAAGAGATAGCAACAGGATGTCTGCTTCTATAGGGAGATAAAATCAACCGTGTGCTCACTTTAAGGCAGCATAGCTGTTAGGGGAGAATCTGTCGGAATGATATTTAAAGCAGGATCATGTACTTGGACCTTCCCTCTAACTTACCAAAGTGGAGGCTTTCCTACTGTGGAATACTAGCTTTCCAGATTCCCTCTGTTCTAAGTTAGGGAATATGGTCCTCATCATATTTCCCTCTGGGTTAGTTTCCCACAAAGAAGGAACATTGGAAGTGACACAACTGGCACTGGTTGCTGAGTTGCAATTCTGAAACCAGCCAGTTCTCCACGGAGCCCTGGCTCCTTTCATCTGGAAAAAGGGTTCTGGCTGTGCCCATTGCTACTGGGGGCTTGTTGCATCGGGCCCTCTTCGCTAACAAAGTAAGAAAACATGCATATGTTTGCTCACCTGTGTGTGTGTGTGCATAATGTTATAAATACTACTACATGTGACCATCTGTATCTACTGCAAGCTGTTCATGAATTCATCCTAATGACTCCAGCTCATATCTACAGGTTTATTTTAATGGGCATAGATTTTTGAGGCTTTCTCATTTTTTTTTCTCCATTTTTAGGGTTTGGAATCTAAAACCTGTCAGTTTTTCAATTTTGTAGAGCTATAATTATCTGGGGAAAAAATTTCTTCTCCTTTTCATTTCTGCTCACAAATCAGCCAATTCTTTCTTAAGCTTAAAAAGTCTTGCCAAATACTGCTATTAGCAACTCAAATACACTAGAAGCAGCCTGTTTTCCAATCCTTTCCCCTTAGAGCTACAAATTCTTTAGCTATATGACCTTCTTTCCAAGCTGACTTCCAAATTAGTTTATGAAATGCTTTGCCTTTTCATAACAAGGTGTACCATTTCTCAAGCTTCTGTTATAGATTGTCATGCCATCTACCATTAGACTGCTTAGCCAATGCCGTATGTTTTGGGTATTTGAATTATGACAGCTTTTTGCTTCATGAAAGGTGGTGTAGTGGTTACCAATTGGACTGCTAATCTTGAGATCAGCAGTTCACAACCACCAGCTGCTCCTAGAGAGAAAAACGAGACTTTCTACTCCCTTAAAGAGGTACAGTCTCAGAAACCCACAGGGGCAGTTCTACTCTGTCCTATTAGGGTTCCCATGAGTCAGAATTGACTCCATGGCTCTGGTTTTGAATTTGGATTTGCTTCTAATGCTAACATCCCTTCATCCTATAAGGAATGTTGATGGTGCTTTTAAACAGTGGACTACTATCCACCTGGCTGGCAGTTCAAACCCACCAGCTGCTCTGTGGGAGAAATATGGGGATATCTGTTTCTATAAAGATTTACAAGGCCTTGGAAATCCTATATAGAGTTGTCGTGACCTATTGACTCGATGGCAGTGGCTTGGTCAACCTATTGATCACATGACAAGTATGACCCTAACCCATGCTTTAGACCCTAACATTGAGAACCAAAGACAACTGGGTCTGTCTGAACACACAGGCTCTATCATTCTATCACCACTTGTTTTAATAGTTTCCTGACATCTCCCTTAAATCTTCTTTTGTTCTTCAATATACATCAATTTTTATTTGCTAATGACAATTTTTCTTTTAGTCATTTTGTGGTGTGTTCCCCCCCCCCCCCCCACCCCCACACACACACACACGAACACACACCCCCCCACCAACTGTTATACTGGCACCTAATCATACAATTGAATCATTACTATTATATTTTGCTAATTACTATTTTTCATTTAAATTGGCAACTACATTCTAAATTCCAAAAGGCTATGGATTATGCCTGACCCTTTGCCTTTACACAGATCTTAGCATAGTGCGTGGCCCATTGTAGCTGCTCAACAGTTATTTTCGGAAATGAAGCGTGAATGAATGAAACTCGGTGTTTGTCTTCTACCACAGAGCAAGCATCATGGCTGCTTCTTTATCCAGCTCCAGCCATGTGTGAGCATACTTCCCAATTCAGAAGAGCACTAGGCATCACAAGCTCCAAACCCTGTACATAAGAAGGCAGTCTATCCAGTAAGGGGCTGCCAGGACCGTGGAGCAGACAAGGCCATGAGGCATGCACCAGGTGCAGCTGAAGAGTCACGTGAACACCCACTCCCACCCACTTCCAACAGTCACCACGTCCCTATGAGGGATGGTCGAGCAGCAGGCGGAGGCTGAGCAGAAACTCTCCCACGACTTCCTCCGCCCTCCCTCCTGCTCAGTTCAGCTGTCTGGTTTCCTCAGCAAAATGGTCTGTTACGTCGCCCTTATCTCCCTCCCCTGTTTCTTCACCAGCTCTCCACACCCACATGGAACCACAGAGGAACAGCTGGGTTTTTATAGGTGCAGATTCCCTAAAGGAATTTCACTTCCTTTCTTGGACTCATCGAAGCAAGCCAGACTCGGTCGCGTTCACACTTGACTATCACGACTGGCACTTCTGCATTTATTCTACCTGGACTCGCTGAGCAGGGACAGCCATCTGGGGGGCTTACCTTAATGAGCCAACTGAAGTTTGGCTATTCATTGCGCTCTTCCGAATTAGATGACTGTCTCATCCACAAGTATCTTTCAAGGATCCTCTTCCTCCAACCCTTAATACTACTACTTGCTAAAGTTCTGACCCTTCTACATTCTCTCCCTCCTAATCTGTCGATTCTCCCACTGACTAGACCTTTGACCCTGATTTTCTGTGACTCTGTTCTCTTATTTATAAAATGAAGATATTACCTACCGCATCGAGTTATTGTGAAGCTTACATGAACTGATACATGTAACATTCCTAGAATAGTGCCTACACATAGTATATGCTCAAAAAGTGTCATTGATTATCATTGCTCTCCTGTCCCACAATTCCAACCAGCAACTATCTTTTAACATTTCCAAATCCTAATCGCTATCCCCTAAGTTTTATCCATGTATTTCCTTCAGATTACTTAGCAGATATCACCATTTATAGATCCAGTAGTCATCTCAAATCCAAAATGGAATTATTTTCCCCTTAAACCTATTTCTCCTCTAAATGTTGATGTCATTTAAGGATGTTGGCCTCTTCATTAAGAAAACTCAAAGTCATCTTGAGTGCTGAGATAGTTTATTGTGCCAGCCTGGCCGATAAACACAAGTGGGATTAACTGAAGGACAGAGAGATAAATGGCTTGGTGAGTCTCGCCTTTCCTGTCTCTTGCTCTTTGATCATCGGACCAGTGTGCGGCTGCCTTGCTTGTCCTGTGCTTCAATTTAAAAGCTACACTACCTGTGGCACCCCTAGCCTGTGGACTGTGTCGCTGTAAGTTGAGGTCCCTTTAAGAGATCACTGGAGCTGGGGACTGGCAGTTGGTGACCTGGCTGGCAGTTGGTGACCTGCCTTGTGATTGGCTGCTGTGCTGACATAGCCTAGCTCTCTCTATAAATAGAGGAAGATCTGGCAGCAGATTGGACTGGAAGGACTGCTAGTCTCTCACATCTCTCTCACGGCAGTGAGTTGAATTGAGCCATTTGTAGTGCTTTATAATTTAACTGTTTCTTTCTTGTATTATATATTTAACTGTATATGATTTAACAGTTCATTCCTTGTTATATATCTAATTATCTTTATAAATAAATATATTAAATTATCAGCAATTTGGTTTTATCTCTCTAGAGAACCCTGTCTAACACAAGTGCTATTCGCAGTCTTCGGTAACTTGATTCTGAATCAAGACGGTTCCTTAGACTGGATCTCTCCTCTCCGAACTCATTGCCGGTGAGTTGATTCCGACTCATACCAACCCCGTGGGACAAAGTAAGACTAGCCCTGCGGGTTTGGGAGGCTGCAAATCTTTACAGGAACAGAAAACCTCATCTTCCTCCTTTGGAGTGGCTGCAGAGTTCAAACCACTGACCTTGTGGTTAACAGCCCAACTTGTAATCTACAATACACCAGGGTCCCTGAACCCAGATTAGGTCTTTATTACTTCACACCATTCCATCTTATTCCACACAGTCCTACCAGAGCTATCTTCCTGGAAAAGTTAATTTGATGATATGTTAACTAGTGCTATCCACAGGTGAATTAAGGGTGAAGCTCATAGCAGTATTGTTCATAAGTGCCAGGAACTGGTTTAAAAAAATCAAAAACAAATATTCACTAACAGCCCCAAGCCAAACCCACTGCCATCAAGTCCGTTACAACCCATGGTGACCCAAGAGGATAGTGTAGAACTGCCCTGTGAGTTTCTGAGACTGGACCTCTCTCAGGAGTAGAAAATCCGAGGAGCAGCTGGTGGTTTTGAACTCCGGACATTGTAGTTAGAGCTCAACATGCAACCACTATGTTTACTAACAAAAGATGAGATGAATTTTGAAATGTGCAAAAGAAAATGCTGTAGGACAATGTAAGTAAATAAACTATAATTCTAGCAACAAAAGACAAAAGGGATTCATCTTAAAGATATGAATAGCCTAAGGCTCGCGATGGCTGCCTCCGGTCTCGGCCGGGAGGCAGGTCAGCCGTGACGCTTCTCCTCCTTATCGCCTTGAGGAAGTCGCCGGGTCCTACCGTTTGCAGCCGTGCAGTGTGTTCTTGTAGGACAGACGAGAGCAATGGCAGGGGCTCTCCCCTGGGCATTAGGCAGGAGCCTTTGGGGCTGGGTGCCCTTAGCCTGCAGGAGCTTTTCTCTGGGCGTTCCAGGATTGTCCCGTGTAAGACTCACCCTCCCACCCCCTAAAGTTGTCGATCGTTGGAATGAGAGGAGGGCCTTGTTCGGGGTGTATGATAACATTGGGATCCTGGGTGACTTTGAGAAACACCCCAAAGAACTGATGAAGGGCCCCAAATGGCTTCGAGGTTGGAAGGGGAATGAATTACAGCGTTGTATCAGAAAGAGGAAAATGGTTGGGAATCGAATGTTCCTTGATGAGCTGCACAAGCTTAACAAACGCATTCGTTATCTTTACAAACATTTTAATCGGCACGGAAAATACCGGTAGAAGAGAAAATGGAACTGTGGAAGTGGTACATGCTGTCATCTTGAATAAGGCAATAGTACATTTCCTTATGAAGAAAGAAAGTTGTGTGTTTTCTGCAATAAAAGGGGTTTTGTTTGGAATCTTATATCCACACACACAAAAAAAATATATGAATAGTCTAATAGAAAGAAAATACAATGCATTCAGTAAATTTTCCTTTATATAAAATGAAGAAAAGGGCAAAATTAAACTATTTCCTATAGATAAATACACAAATGACAAAACTATAATGAGAAACAAACAAGTGATTACTCTGAAAATCAGAACATAGTTATTTCTGTGGGGGTTGAAGAGGATTGGGATTGGGTAGGACGGATGGGATTTTGCAATGTCATAATTCTGATCCGAAGTGATGATGCTTGAAGAGTTGTTTGATTTATAATGATCCTTTGTATGGTATATTTGTTTTAGTATTTTTCTGACTTCTGATTAGATTGCTCTATTTCTAGGCGAGAAGTAAAAGAAAGTAATCCAATGACACCATCTCCAATAGAAAATATCCCTGCTCTCAGAGATCAACAAGATCTCTGGGTCCCTCACCTACACACAGAAGCTATTCCTGGTCTTGCTCCATAGCTGTCTGTCTGCCCCCTTCATCCCAGGTGCCCTGTTTCCAACAGCACACGTCCTCTTACAGTTCTGTGAACTATCACGGGCTTCCTCAAGATGGCACCTTCCACCCGCTCTCTTGCTGGTGTCAGCGGTATTTCTCGGTTCACCTGACAAACTTCTGTCTTCCTCCAAGACTCAGTCCAATGACACCTTTCTGTCGAAGCCTTCTTCACTACTCTCGCCAGAGTGGGTTCCCTTTCTTTGCTCCAACCATTAAAAACCGAACCCAAGCCACCACCACCACTGCTCCCTGGCCGGAGCCCAAACCACCGGCACTCCGCCTGAGTGTGCCTTTCCCAGGGCTCTGTCTCCCCTGCTAACCTGGGGCTCCTGAGAGTCAGGGCCTTAGCTTCCTCATCTACTCACAGCGCTCTCACCACCTGTACCAGAAAAGTGCTGTGAGCATTAAAATGGAGTATATACATGTAAATGATTCAGTCCCATATTTAGAACATTTTAATTTTACACTAGTTTTTTTATACATTTTTGTTCTAAAGTAATGACTTAGAAGTGTGCTAGAGGGCGCACACTCACTATTCTCGTAGGCTATTGTACTTTAGCAACATTTTTCTTTATTTGTTCAGGTAAGCAGGAGCCCAAGAAAGAACCAGCTATTTAGTAAGAACATTATTATCTATCACTTAATAAAATAATACAGGTCAAGCATTCAAGTCAATGCGGCATTTGAAATTACTTGGGTGATGATCAAGTCAACCTCCAGATCGATGAAGTTATGAGGAGCACTTGTTTCAGCCCCTGGTCTGCAAATTCCGTGTGTGGGGTCTCCGTGAGTCAGAGCCAACTCAACAGCAACAACAACAACAACAACAACAACAACAACAACGGGTGGAGCCAACAGAGCAGTGGGCACATGGCAGCAGGCAGACTGGGTTCCAGCGATGCCCTAACCAGTGCTAAATGAAGTGTGTCCTCCTCTGCGAAACAGCAGGATGGAATGAGATCATGTCCACGGCCCCTTCCAACTCTACTATTGTGTAATACACAAGTCTAAGTTTTAAAAAGGAGAAAGAAACAGGCATGTCCTCAAAAGAACAAAGACACTGGGCCAGAGAGTTAGAAAAGTAAATCAGAGGTAAAAAAAGTTTTTGTTTTTTTTTAATTACCAAATCAGAAAGTCAAAACAAACCTCAAATCTGCAGTTTGGTTTTTCCTTCGACACAATCAATGTAGGGGTCAGAACAAAGCAAAGTGAGTGGCAGAGGGTTGGCTGGCTGAGCAACTTATTGCTTATAAACTATTTTCCAGCTTCCCTCTCCATCCCTTCGGTTAATAATGATTTCAGCCAGATCTCTGGGAAGGAGGTTGATTTTCTGTGACGTATTATGAACTGGCTGGTGGAAAGCATCATCGCTTTCAGTGACATCAGCCACTGTCCCCAGGAGAGAAGCTGCACATATTGAGAGCTGTTCATTGGGGTTCACCCTAATTGTGAACCTAAGAAACGATCGTAAACTGAGATGTATGTGAAGAAGTAACCTTACAATTTGCTGTTAATGTTATGAAGTGTCTACTTTGAAGCAGTCAAACTGCCTCATAGTTTAGGAACAAGACTAGAAATCAGCAATAATGCGATTTCCCTGATGACTTACTTTACCCTCTGAATGTCATGCTGAGAAGTCTTCAACGATGACAAATAGCTGTGACTGATTTTTAGAATGTGAAGATGTCATTTTGCCTATCTGTAATAAAGAAAATATTTACAACGATATTGGTTGCTCTTTCAGTTTCACTAGATTAAAGGTCAACATGACAGAATTTGTTAATTGTTTGGGTATAACTATGCTCGTAGTTCATGCTCTGTATTGTACCTGTTATTAAGCATAGCATTTTTGAACACTCCAGGTAATTAAATGTCAAGCATTCAAACAGTTCATAGTGAGCTTTCGGCAGTAGTCTATAATGACTGCTGTTGTTTCTTCTCCTGAGTCTAGCTTCCTACTTTGTAAAATTTACCTTTCACACATCATCGGTACACAGACTGGTTAGAACTCTGCCAGGCTCAAAAAGAAGGCCGTTCCTATCTTTGCTTTCCAGAAAGCTCTACATAGCCTAATGTGGCAAACATGGATGGGGTGATATTTTCATGCACTGAAGGCTTAGCATGTGTGCTTTTTGTACTATTAATAAAACTAAACTTATTTTATAGACCTATCAAATAGTCTTTCAGTCCCTCTTGTCTTCCTCTGGCATCCAAGTCATTTTTTTTAATGAAAAATGGCCTCGCTTTAGCAATGGATTCACAAGGTGCTCTCATCTTCGACCAGACTCTTAAAACATTCACCAGGCAACACAGAAACTATTTAGAGAAAGAAACCATGCAGGAACTTCTCTAAGACGCTCCCCTTGCCAGAGTGTTTCTTGGGAAATCAGGTGGCCCCAGAGGTGCCATGGTGTGAGTCTACCCGTGTGCAGGTGAGGCTGCAAAACCAGCTGAATAACCAACTCCCCAGCCCCACTGCCCACCCCACATTGTCCTCTGTGTTCTAGGACGTCTGCTAGGCTGGCCTGGCTTGGCTTTCTGGGTTGGACAATGGTGTGGACTCGAAAGGTATTCTCATGGGCAATTACTGAAGCTTAGCAACCACCGGTTGCTTCTCGGTGGTTTATAACACTCCACATGGATGGTATGTTAATTTAAATTGTAAGTGGCTTCTGGATTCTCTACCTCATTTGAGAATGGCCCTAAATATAGCAGCCATATAAACTATTTGTGTGCCTGGTTAATATCTGACCTTCACATGTACCCATCCCGGAGTATCGAGTCATCACAGAGCCGATTTGACAGTGTGGAAACAGCTCCAGGCTCTAGTCAGAGCATCTCTTAGGGCAGCAGTTCTCAACTCGTGCGTCGTGACCCTTTTGGGGGAGTGTTGAATGACCCTTTCACAAGGGTTGCATGATTCATAACAGTACCAAAATTATATGTAGCAATGAAAATAATTTTATGGTTGGGGGGTCACCACAACATGAAGAACTATATTTAAGGGTCACAGCATTAGGAAGGTTGAAAGCCACTGTCTCCATGGGCCAAGGTTCATAGCTACCTATGTGGGACATCAGTGATGCTGGCCCACTGTTAGAGCTAGAACTCCATAGGAAGGTGTCTGGGATCACAGCCATTTGCACTCCATTCATTCATCTATTCTACCGGCATGCTTTTGAATACCAAGTATATGCCAAGCGCTGACCAAGAATCAGTATAAACACACACACACACACACACACACACACACACACACACACACACCAGGCAACACAATCCCTACAGGAAGTGTAGTCAGCAGGGGGACAGATAAGGAGGGAATGGTATTCTCTCTGTGTCTTCCATGTGAGCTATTCAAGAGGGACCAGTTTTGTTATTGCAATGAACACTTCAACCATGATAACATTTCTGTAAATATTTCAAAACAAGCATATTTTCCTCTCCAGTCTTGTTTGCGTCAATAATGCTTTAAATATATGAGGGGCTTCAAAAAGTTTGTGAAGAAATGGAATTAAAGGATAGTGGAAATTTTCTATGGCTTTTGAAGCCCTCTTGCATGTAGTACTTCAAAAATTATCTCCCGAATTCTAATGTGTGCTGTGCACCTAATCCTTTTGCCAATAAGACAAATTCCACAGATTGCGGTGAAGGAGTAAAGTTATAAAGCTTATCTGCACAGAGAGCCAATAAATGGGAATCGCTTTTATTTTACTGATGATCTTTGATCCTGGACAAAATTTCAAAAAGTAACAAGCAAAGACTGAAAGTGAAAAGCTAGGGGAATTAGACAAGAAGTTTCCTTTACCAAAACAAAGCAAAACCGAACAAAAAGACACTCCCAACATCCTGTTCTTACCATTTCTTTGAAAGAAAATGTTTAAACCATTGAAAACTTTTTTGTTTCAGAAATTGATTCCCAACTATGCACTGAAAACACTTCTCATTGTTTAATTTGGAATGCATGGGGCAGACTGGAATGTCTTAGAAACTCTTGCCTTAAGAAATTCGACCTTACACCAAAGCCCACCTCTTAGGGTTTCCACTGGGGCTCGCCACTGGAAGAATAAGAATATCTGCCCACAAGCACTGCCCAATAACTGATTTCCAGAGGCATGCAGAAGGTGCAGTCCTTTCCTTTGCTGATTTAGAAGGCAGTGCAAATGTCTGGGTTAATCAAAAGCTTATACAATTGGCACTATATACTTTTGAACGTCATTCCCTCACCCTAAAACTATCTTTTCAGTCTCATTCTCTACCACCTGTCATTATCCACCCTTTGCTCCAGTCATGAGAACCCTGATGGCGTAATGGTTAGGCATTGGGCTGCTAGCCAAAAGGTGCCCAGAACGAAACCACCAGTCGCTCATAGGGAGAAAGATGGGACTTTCTACTCCCCTAAAGAGTGACAGTCTGAGAAACTCACAGGGGCAGATCTATCCTGCCAGACATTGTTGCTGTGAGTTGTCATCTACTAGTTGACAGGGAGTCTGTTTTGGTTTGGCCCCGGTCATAGCAATCAAGGTGAAGTTCTTAAACAGAAATGGTAGGAGGATGGGGAAAGCTCCTGGGTTCATTAAGGAACAGTCGAGTGACTGGGACAGAGCTGTAGCAGACAACTCTACTTAATTAAAATAGGGCCTGGAGGCAAAGCACTAGGGGGCTTTGGTGCATCTGACCAACGCGGCCACATAAGATAGATGCGTGGGTCATATATTTTGCCTGTACACTGGGCCTTAAATGGTCCTTCTTTGAACTTTGTGAAGGAGCAGATGTCTCTTGGAACAGGTCCCCTTGATTGGATTTATTCTCTTCACTGGAACTAAAGTTGTTTTTCTAAAATGCAGTCTGATTATTAAAAAAGAAAAAAAAAAGTCCTGCCTTTGGTTGCCTGCAATGCCCTCCAACAGTGATTCTCTAAGGCGAATCCTCCCCGGGAGGTATGGAAGCCTGTGAGAGCCACCTCAGGGACTTTCCCAAACATACTGGTACACTGGGTTGTGCCTTAGGTCGCTGACAGCAAGGCCAGCAATTTGAAATCACCAGCAGCTCCTTGGGAGAAAGATGGAGTTTTCTACTCCCTTGAAGCTCTAGTCTCAGAAGCTGACAGGGGCAGGTCTACTGTCCTTTGGGGCCGCCAGGTGTTAGAATTGACTCGATGGTGGTGAACCCGACACAGGGGTGTGTGGCAGCCTCTCCCTTGGCCGTCTGCCGGTGAAAACTGCTGTCCAGCTGCTTCAGTAACGGGTGCTGGGGTTCCATGACAGGCTCAGATCAGCAGCCCTCTGCAGGAGCCGTGGCATCCCGCTTCCAGAAAGATGATCGCACTGGGGGCCTTATGGGGGCTCTGTTCTGCCTAATAGGGTTGATGTGGGTCAAAATCATCTCAACAGTAATGGGTTTGGTGTTTTGATTTTGTGAAGGTCTAACTTCACGTTCACTTCTAAGCTTAATGCAAGAAAGAAACCTGAGATGATCTAATCAAGCCCCTGAATCTGCAGATGAGAAAACTGAGGCTCAATACCCTTCACTAACCTCTTTATTTCCCGAATTAGCCTGTGAAAAAGATGACTGTGGCCCAAGTTTGCCCAGTATCGTCCTGGCCAAGATATGTTTTTAAAAAGGAGTCACTATTTTTTACCTCTCAAAAATGTCCAAATTTGGAAGATAAATCCCATAGCCCCTCTTACCTGTGGCTATATCGTTTCATTTGACATTTTAAGTTTTGTTGACATATAATTCACGTGTTAAGTGTGTTAGGAAGAGTTGTGCCATCATCACAATTTGAAACAGCATTTACTTTTAAATTGACAAATATAGTATTGTTTTCTCTAAAATTTGGGGACATTTAAGATTCTTTTGTGGGTGGTTTGTGAATAATCAATCATAAACAGTAAGCCATAATGAAATTATTTTCTATTTAAAACATATTGTGTCTGGTATTCTGTGAAGACATTTTCTAGTAGCCTTAGAATATTTAGTATTTATTTAAAATCATGATGGCTAAGACATTAGTGGAAGAATTAAATCAATATTGCAGCTGATAGAAAACATTTGAATCACTTAAGCAGTCTTTAATGACTTAAGCAGAATAGAGTCCTCCACCTGGCCTTATTAACAATGACAAACGAATGTTCTCTCAGTAGATGACAGGTCTGATCCATCATGACAGCCATTTTTAAGCTAGTTAGTTACAAACAAGGGTGTTTGTCACCCACTGTTTCTAACTGCACAGACGAGCTCTGTGTGCCAATGATTCTCAAATTTTCTCTAAGGTCAGGACCCAAAGTCCCGCCAATCTCCAGACCATCAGCTTGCATATAATCCAATAAACTTGAAACACCCCTTTCATAGTGAGCAGCCTTGAAAGATTCCATAATTGATTACTGTTTCAAAGGAGATTTAATATTGCTTGCCTTTCTTGACGCTACAAAGAGTTCCTTAGTTTTGCTCCAATCTGCACTATCCCTGACATAAAACATGGCTCGTGATGAAAGCTGTGATTTGTTTCAGCAATGTGTTTCACTTGACCACTTAAGCCAGTGTCTGCAGAAGTTTCTTTTTTCAGGGAAATAAATACCAAGTCTACTTGAATGGGAGTGTGGGGTGGGGTGGGAGAGAGGCGGGGACAAGGACTTTGCATTTATTTTGTCATAAGATAAGATTATCATCTTTTTAAAAATCACCTTTAAAATGAGCTCACTGTTAGACTGGATCCTCTTGTGGTGACTCGCTGATTATTGCCTGGTCCCACCCTCGTGAAAACAAGAGCCGGGTGGGATTTGGTGCTTGCTCGCACGTCTCAGCTCCATGAGAAAGTATGTCTGAGCTTAGCAGCCTCAGAAAGTAATTTTCCCTTTTTCCCCCCTCTTTTAAAATTTCCTTTTGAGCATTTTGGACAATTCATCCTTTAGAATGAGAAAGAGTAGAAGACAGGAATGTTGAATGAGGTTAAGTAAACGGAGAATCCGTCACATAAAGCAAGCTTAAATCCCAGTAAGAGCATCCATGCAAGACAAACGGAAGCATTATCCTTTTGAAAACATTATTCTTTTAAACAGTGTGTAATGACATCCTCCCTAGAGACTTTTTACAGGAAAGGGGAGAAAAAACAAACAAACTTCAAAACACTTGCTCATAACTCATTTTCTAGATTCCGAGTGCAATGCGTACAGCACTGCAGAAAGCCAAGCTTCTATCTTCTTCATCTAAGAAGACGGAAAATTAGAACGGCATGAAAGGTGATCATGGAAATCTCGGCCGGTTCTTTTCTGTTGTTACATCTGGTATTTCCTTGCGCAAAAAGACAGGAGAAAAAGTCATCATTATTCCCTTAGACCTAAAAATTAGTGAATGTATCCTGACTCTTAAAACTTGCGCTAAGTATATTTTGCTTTCGGCGTGGAAAATATGAAAGATGCAGATGTGCTCCGTGTACAACATCCCTTGGAAGTGTGCCCGCCTCTTGCTGAAGTACAGGGAGCCTGGGAGCTGTACTCTGTGGAACTGCCTTGCTATTCCTGGTCCCACAGTGTTTCTGCCTTTGACAGGATGCAGTCTTCGCACAGTTTAACCACTCACTTTCGTGGAAAACATTTGAGTTTCCTTCTCTAACAGGCTTCTACTTGACCCACGTTCCACTATATAAACTGTAGGGTATGTTCCCATTACTTTACACTGCTGCGGGCGTGGCTGAAAATAACTACAGTTGTCTGTTTTTAGCTTTGGTGTTTTCTAAATATCTGAAGTTGGCTTTTGATTTAAATGTCTAGACAAGAAAAAAGCAAAACAAACAGATGATGTGCTTTGATTCAAACACTATTGTATAGATTTAATTAGAGCAGAACCAAATAAACATCTCTCTTCAAAGAATTCAGGAAAGATTTCACACATTTTGAATATATTGTAAGAAAGGAGAATGACACCATAGAAAATCACAATTATGATGTTTATTTAGCAAAATAAACTTGATGAAGTCTTCTATTAAAAAACACACATAAAAAATCATATTCAAAGTTAGGCTTTCCCATCTTCTTTGGTATGGAAATCCACTTTCACAATATAAAATATTTTATTTTTAATAGTTTGGTCACTGGATCCAAAATAGTTTTCCATCTAAGGAAAATACAAAACTGAGTTCTCTGTAATTATCTGGCTTACAGGATAACTGATGAATGGGCAAAAGTAATATGCATGCAGAGCCTGACTCTTCAAGACAAATTCATTTGTGGATATATGTTTTCTACTGGAAATGTATTTTGAATATTTTTGGTGATTTTCATTTTTACTGTGTGATATGAATAACAAATCTATAAGACCATTCTGTGCACTCAATTAAGTACAACTTCTCCCAGTAAGCTGATACCCCAGTACGAAGACTTAGCAACACTTAATTCTCAACACGATTATACCATTTTCAAAAGTGTTTGTATATTTTTAAATTGTGTGCTTCAGCAGTCTTTTCCATGAAACAACATCTGGATATTGCTAATAGCATTAAATAGACATGACTCAAATTCTACTTAAATAATTTTTTTTCTCTTAAGAAACATAATTACTTAAACCCAACGATTTTTTGTTTCTACTCTAAGTAATTTTATGTGGTCTGCTAAATTAGCAAGGTAAAACACTTCCAGAAACACCAAAGGAGAACTGAGCTACTCTTATTCCTCTGATAACATTGTCGACTGATTCTGATTTCTCTATGTCCCTGAATTCTTGGCTGGAACGATCACCCCATAATTTGTTAAAATGAATAAGAAAAAAAGACCCCATTACAAACTTGGGCTTTTCTTGGGTGTTTTGCATAGACTCTTGTGATCACCAAATGATCAAGCAATTTGTGGCATCAGTGCTAACACTGAGACTGAGAACAAGAGGAGTACAACCACAGTAAGATGCAGCTGTCTATCAGAAGGACTGTATAAAGACATCTTTGGCCATGTAGACTCTGGGCCCTCTGGAAATAAGTCAGTTGCACTGCCAACATGACAAAGAAAATAGCAATGTTCAGGATCAGGAACAGTCTGGTGTATGACGCAGACAGGGACGGCGCCCTCCTGAGAGTCGTTGTCAGCATCCGGGCCTGGCCAAATTGGCCTTTCACCAAGCCACCATTTTTGTGTTTTTCATATGTTACATCTGCAAAATCTAAAAGGTCTTTCATTTCTTCATCTTCATCTACAGGCAGTTCTTTCTGTGCCAAAATCTGAGCTTTCTGCCTAATCCTTTTCTCGTTGACTTCTATCTGTGCAAAGATATCGGGGACGGCATCCACAAATTTGTAACGCTTGCCTGCCCTTCGGGTTTTCTTCGATTTGCTTTGCTGCAGCAGCTGCTGCTGAGATATGGCAAAAATCCTGTCAATGGCCTCCTCGGTCTGCCTCTTATCTGAAAACCGCAGCAAGCGCTCTGCGGTCTTCCTAAAGCTAGCCGTGTTCCGAACTCGGGACAGGATCTGTTTCTCCAATAGCTGGAACACCGGCTTAAAACGCTGCAGGTTCTGTTCCACAATGGCAGCATAGTCCCTCACCTCGGGGACCAGTGTGCTCCTGATGGCTGCGCTTCGGTCAAAAAGAATTTTCTGGTGATCTGCAATGACTTGCGCAAAGGCAGACTGCCCTGTGGCCTCGCCTGTCCAAAGGTAAGTTGCATAGGCATGTTCGCTAGTGGCTATAAACACATCCAGTTGCTGAGCGTCTCCATGGATACTGAAGCTCTGGACATCTACAGATGGCCCTATGAAGAGGTAAGCCACCCTGGTGATGGGGCTTCGAAGGTGCATGGTGACATTCACATAGTTTGTACCATTGTAGGGATAGCCCCGCGGGTATGTCACAGAAGCAAAGGTTGCTTTCTCACTGTAGCCAGTATCATCCATCCAGTACATTTTATAGAGACCATCTCGTTGCCTGATGAACGCCCCATGGACACCGTCTACCTCTGTCTCCTCAAAAGGAGCATCCACATTGTGGAAGAAGCTTGCGGCTGTTTCCACGGGACTCGCCTCTCCCAGGGATATTTGGTCCACAAGGAGGAGAAGCTGCGGGTGCAAGAGGATAAGGTTCCTCTGAACATTCTTCAGATTGAGCCGAGGGTTATAAGCGCCGACACCTTCTCCGCGGATGAAAACCAACCCGTTTTTCTCCATTGCGGCAACGACTCTCCCCTGACAGTTGGCTGCCAGGTCGTGCTTGTATTTAGACCATTTGGATGAGCAATCTTCTGTAACCTGGCCCTCCCAGGGAGCAAAGCAGCTCTTTGACACAGCCGGGGAAAACATCAACGCGTTATTGAAGTAGGTATACTTTGGCCCATACAGAGCCTCCGTGATGAAAGGCACGCCGTTGGGAGCAAAGGTGAAGGAGTTCTGATCAGGATGCTCATGCCCCGCATTAAAATTTCGCCAGCCTTTGATCCAGTCTTTGTATTTGCTTCTGTGCACAATGTCGTAGATTGCACGTCCTCCGAGCTTTCCGGACTTGAAGGAAAGGAAGGATCTATTGATTTCTGCAGGAAGGGCACTTCCATAGGTCACCACACCCCAGTCTTCAAAATAATGCAATGCCGGAGTCCCAAAATCTGGAGGGGGAACGGATTTCAAGCTGGCATCATACCTGAAAGAGTCAATTTAAAGAAATCAAATGTCAATGAGGTGGAAATAAAATAACCTTACTTTAGAACTGTAGCCCGAGGGAACACACAAATGCTCCTCAGAGAGTGGACGGTCCAGACTGCTGATGGGGACAATTCTGAAGAGAGCCCACAGATAGTCTCAGGATGCTTGGGGGAAACCCTTGGCACATGGGCAAGAAGCGTTATCTTTATGATTTGCAACCTGAAGCGGTTTTACTGCTAACCATCACATGGGCCTTCTTTACTTGACCAGAGCTGTCACTCAAGCTGCGGCTGGTAAGCACTTCACCCAAACGTTTCCTCGTATAGCAAACGCACGTAAGGCTCACCACCCAAACAAACCAAAACTGCAATGGCGTATTGTACCATGCTCACTGCGATTACTGAAAGTTTGGTAGAGCAGGCATTCCTTTAAAATACAAATAGAGTCGAACATATCAGATAAAATTCATTGCCAGCACCAGACCTGGGGACCTAAGTAGGTGGAGTTCGAGGAGACGGAAGTTGGAATTAGCTAGCAGTGAGCTGAACATTTACTATTGAGGGATTTAGCATTGTGCTTACCAGCGCTACCTTAGACCCAAGGTTGTGGTTGCCTTTTTAAAAATCTGCCAATGATGCCATGTCCTAGGGATGGTAACTGGTTTCTTAGCAAAGTGACACAACAATTGACATTAAACTTCCTCTGTGATTAAGAGCACAGGCTCTTGATCCAGTAGGCATCTAAAAACAATAAGGATGAACACGTATTTTCCCTGATTTCAGTTAACAGCTTTGACAGATTCATACAATTTGGATTCAGGGGAAGAAAAGCTGCTTTTTATCTAAAGTGAATTAGTCACCTATGGTGAAGTTCATTTTACTAGTTTGGGGGGGCTTCACCCATAGTTCTTGAGCTTCAGAAAGGGTTTCTCTACTGATGTCTAGTGTAATGTTGGCCTACTTAATGTGACGGAACACATCTAGACACAAACTGCATTGGGCAACATTCTCTCAGGCAGGCTTTGGTCTGGGTCCATATTCCTGTGAAGTCAGATGTCGCACCACGTTAAACAGCATTAATCTGACCCCTGGAGTGAGCTCTGTGGAATTTTCTTAGTTGTTACTTATTCGTAAATTGATAACATTATTAGGCAATTATTCCAAACCCCTGAAAGGAATCGGAAATAGTTATATATTAAGACAGGTAGTTCATCTGTGAAAACACAATGCTAGTATTTCCCCCCCTAAATTCTTACATTATGATAAAAAGCACGAACAATGTCATAAAAAGCTAACTTTGTAATTGGAAGCAATTCTAAGAGCTTGAAAAGACACCAGGGGTTGATGATTAACTTGTTCCCTGTAATTTCAACTTTTAACTTATTAGGTGCCAACAATATATTTGGCACTACTTTAAAAAAAAAAAAAAGGAACCCCATGCTTTTCTTCCTGGGCTTAAAAGAATAAAGGAAAAAATTACATGGTTCTTTTTATTATCAAAATGAATCTGTCCAATGTTGTCAAACAGTGTTAAACAGTTTTGTAAGTTTAGTAGCAGCTTTGTTACTGAACGATTATAATGCTCCATTTACCAAAACGTTTTACTACTGCTGTGTGTGGGTGTGTAATAACCAAAATAACTTCTGTGGTTTCCTCTTTATGATTTCAAAACTGATGTAAATCAAAACGTGTCTATTGAAATAATGTAAGTCTCTGACATTGTGTTAGACAGGGTTCTCTAGAGAGATAAAACCAAATTGCTGATAATATATTTATTTATAAAGATACTTAGATATATAACAAGAAATGAACTGTTAAATCATATACAGATAAAATATAATACAAGAAATGAATGGTTAAATTATAAAGCACTACAAATGGCTCACTGTAATTCACTCCCGTGAGAAAGGGTTGTGAGAGACTAGCAGTCCTTCAAGTCTAGTCTGCTACCAGATTTTCCTCTATTTACAGAGCGAGCTAGGCTATGTCAGCACAGCAGCCAATCACAAGGCAGGTCACCAACTGCCAGCCAGGTCACCAACTGCCAGTCCCCAGCTCCAGTGATCTCTTAAAGGAACCTCAACTTACAGCGACACAGTCCACAGGCTAGACGTCCCACAGGTAGTGTAGCCTTTAAATTGAGGCACAGAACAAGCAAGGCAGCTGCACACTGGTCTGATGATCAAAGAGTGAGAGACAAGAAAGACGAGACTCACCAAGCCATTTATCTCTCTGCCCTTCAGTTAATCCCACTTGTGCTTATCGGCCAGGCTGGCACAATAAACTATCTCAGACATCTCTAGTAAGAATTTTTTAAAAAGAACTCAAGAGGGTAAAGAGTAATGAGGTCTTAAACCTAAGGGAGTCTTTCTAGTGGAGTTTCAAATACTGTGATACAGATGGAATTGAAGCTGCATGTACCTGGGTTGCACAGAGAAGGGGTTCGCAGTGGGAGTTGTCTCATTTAGGCAAAAGTAGGATGTGGCGCACATCATGACATTGGGCACTAGTTCTCTTTAAAGTTCAATGCTTCTTACCAGAGAAACTCCGTGTGGAGAGTGCACCAGCGCTGCCCTTTGGATGGAGTTCCCGGACCCTCCATCACTCGGTTCCTCCTGATTCGATCGGCCAGCCAGTTACCACTGCCGTTACGTATGACAAATTTATCCAGGAACACTAACTGACTTTCTGGACCATAAAACCAGTTGTAATTTGAGTCTGCAATAGCCACCGTTCTTTGAAACCCTGCAGGTAAAAGTTTGAGAGAATGAAAAGAAATTTCAAACTGCATACTCCTATGAAGATCTAAACAATGATCTTTCACCCCTTTGTAACCGATGTAACATGCAGTGCCTACCTACATTTTTAACACTTCTGGGGCTTAGTGGGAAGCTCCTATCCCACTTTTCATGCATGCTGCTATCTGACAAGAGCCAGTATAACTGCGTGATTATAAAGAAACTCATCTCATCCACCCAAGCAGTAGAGATCCCTTAGAATATCCTAGGAAGCTTCAAAAAGTTCAAGCAAAAATGGAATGAAACAATAATGGTATATTCCCCCAAACTTTTTAAAGTCCTCTCATTATATGTCCCATTATTTGCCCCCAAACCTACAGTACTTCAAAATTGCCTTTTCATTAAATTTGAAAAGCCTCCAGTACTGAAGACACATGGCTTCAACAAAAAAATGAAAGCAGAAAACAATTCCGTCATGAAAAGGTTAAACCTGGCTCTAAATTATAGTCAATTGTGTATCTTGGATAAAAATAACAAAGAAAACCACATTTTCTATGAGCTTCCTCAAACTAATTCATTAGAGTCCCGCTGAAAATCTTTCACGAATCTTGGTGCAAGTTGACAGTTGTTTATCACTGATGTGACCGTTTAGCTTTGAAAACAAAAATGTCACACCTCCTTGTGCTCATGTATACTGCTGCCCCTTCCCTCCTTTTACCACAGGCCACCCTATGTGCAATTATGTCTACACATCTCTGTGGGCTACACCTGTGCACAGTGAACTCATGGACCTGGAATGAACGCGAGCTCTCTCACCAACTCACCCTGGATTGCAGACCAAGGGGATAATATCTCACGCGAGAAACGCACGGCCATCGAGTCAATTCGGATCCCTAAGGATGCTATAAGCAACCACCACCCACTGCCATTGAGTCGATTTCTGACTCTTAGCAACCCTGTAGGCCAGGGGAAAACTGTCCCTATCAGTTTCTGAGACTAACTCTTTACAGGAGTAGAAAGTCTCATCTTTCTCCCATGGTGTGAGTGGTGATTTCAAACTGCTGACCTTCTAATTGGCAGCCCCAGTGCATAACCACTATGCTGCCATAGCTCCTGGGTAACACATAGGACAGAATAGGACTGCTGTTTTGGGTTTCCGAGGCTGTGAATGTTTACAGTACTAGACAAGACTCATTGTTCTCCCTCGGATCAGCTGGTGGGTTCGGACGTCTAACCTTGTGGCTAGCAGTCCAATGTGTATCTCACTTCGATACGGTTTCCAGTAAATTAGAAGTTATACTGTATATAGGGTCAAGAGGAGAAATCTGACTACTACAGGAAGAAACAATAACTTCCAGGTAAGATCTGTCCCTATGTACTGCTGGAAACTTAAAAAAATAAGGACAGTGCAAGGGTCATAGGGTCAAATATCACTACTGGGCAAGGGAAGGAAAGAGAAGCGGATAAGACAGAATATAATCCAGAGAAAGAAGAATGGGCGAAACCCTAGTCCAGACAAACATCATTATAATATCAATTGTAGAAAAGAAAGAAAAATGTAGTTGAGAGCATAGTGACTGAATAATGAAAACCCATCCCAAAGGTTACAAAAGCACAAGGGAAAGTGAGGAACACAGAGATTTATTTCAAACAAAATAGACTTAAACATGGCTCTGCGAGTACTAAATGACTGCAGACAACTTCTCTCGGTAATAATACATTTGTCTTAAGTCTCATTAAGATGCCTTAAAGGAAAAAAGGCCCGATCAAGACAGTGGATTCTGAGGCGATCTGCCGGGCCAGGGGGATTCAAGGCAGAGAGGCCTTCTAAGACGGTGACGGCAACTGGCTTTTGGAATTCCAAAAGGAGTAATTTTAACAGCTTTCCTTAGAAGGACACAGGACAGTCACTGCGGTTTATGCATTTGTGAGAAAAAAATACTTCCTAAGCTTTTTATAACTTCTTAAGTACTGTTTGGAAATAAGTAGAGTTATAGAACTCTCAATGAAATGAATAAGTTCTTAAATCATATATATACATATATATGCTAGAGTTAGTTTTATATTAGAAAAATAAGCTACATAGAAAAAATAAATGAGAGGTTTTGTAGCAATCGGTTTTCCATACGTTTTCTACAATTGATATTATTTAATGAAACCAAATATTAAAAAAATACTTCAACAAAAATGTTAGTAGAAGCTTTTTTTGGTGACCTGTGCATAAATTGTTTGAAAGAAAAAATTAAAAGCAAAAAATTAGAATTGAGGAAAATTAGCATACTTATATTTGTACATTCATGAAAGGGTTTACATATGTATCCAAGTTTATGCACACATAAAATCTGCAATACTGTGGAAGCTAGATCTTATATTTGGTCCACTATGCTCCAAGCTGTATAGTAAATTTCCAACCCTAAGGATCTGCAATCTGTAACACTCGCATTCAATTCTTTGATTTTTAATATCATTAATCTTAATATGATTTAAAACCACAGACCTCATTTCTTTATAAATCAGAAACAATTAAAATAATTTTCATGTTTTCCCATTTCTGATGCCTCACTGTACCTGGTAGGATGGTTCTATACATAAATGCAAAGTGTTGCTTAAGCCATGGATGGCCAAAGTGGTTGATGTTAAAGTGCCTTTGAACCAGAAACATATACTGGAAGAGGGATCTAGTGGTGTAGCTGCCATAAGCAACTCCTTCATAGAGGGTGCCATCTGTCACTTCCCGGAGCAAGACCAGAGATTTCTCCATGATGGTCAGAACTTGTTTGGTCCATAAATAGGCTTCTTGAAGATACCCTGCAGGACAAAAAACCAAAAGGGAACATGGACTCATGGTTGTCCGAATAAAATCCTGAGTTGTCTAACTAGTTTATAATCCACCTTGCCTTTAGCAAACATCTTCATGTGTCGCAGTTACAAGCTAGAAAACAAACGCAAACGATTGCCATCTCGTAAATCCCATCTCATGGTGACCACGTGAGTCACAGGGCTGTCTCTTCCAATTAAGCCCTGTTTGGGATGGGGCCGCAATGTTGGGTAAAAGGTTCTTGAGTAGACGTCACTCATTCACTCTTCAATTACGTGAAGATAAACCTTCAAAGGCGCATCAGTCATTTCCCAATCCTTAATACACAGAAGCCACAGTACACCCAAGACCACACATCACACATCATTTTGTCTAGAAAATCACTTATAATTTTGTGTCCACGAAACAAAATTTGTATGTTGAGACCTTATTCAATTTTCCTAAAATAATACTTTAAAATATTTTCTTAACTTTATCATTTTATTAAGTGTTCACCATTGTTTTACAAAATATATACCAAGATGCTGATTCTGCAGATGCTAAAGGAACAGGCTTCAATCTGTATTACTGCTAGAAGACAAGCTCTCGTCCTTATTGGGCTTTTAGGTCCCACAGGATCTGAAGAGCAGCATAGGAGGGTGGCGAGGCCACTGAATTAGGAATCTAAGCACAAAATTAAATCAACTAGGAGTCCTGAATCTGCTACATATAATCTGCATAAGTTTGTCCAAGTTTTTCTCCAAACTGTCATATTTTCTAAATCCCAATGGAAAATTAAAGGTCTAAAATACAAGCGTTCAAGTAAAAAGCAAATGTTTTGAGAATGATGAGGGAAACAAATGTACAAAAGTGCTTGACACAATGGATGGATGGATGGATTGTGTTAAGAGTTGTATGAGCCTCCAATAAAATGATTTAAAAAAAAATACCATCCAGAGGGAAAGAGCATTTGGCAATTAATGAAAGTTTTATTTTTGTTTAAAAAAAGCTAAAATATTCTCTTGCCTCCAAATCGCTAGCTGTCTATAATTCTTATATTTTAGTTAACAATAACTCGTATATCTATAGCATTTTGAATTTATATAGCACTGAACATAATCTTAATCTTTTTAACAATCTAATCATGCATTATTACCACCAATATTTCAGATGAGAAATCCAAACATCAACTTGTTTAAGACCACTGGCACATGACTAAAATCGAACTCAGCAATATCAGTCAATACCTATAAGTCCTGGCCTTGAAGTCGCACCAAACCCACTACTATGGGAACAATTTTGATATTGTGAGATTCTACAGTGTTTCTGAGACTGTAAATCTTTATTGGAGGAGGCAATCTCATCTTTATCTCCCAGGGTGGCTGATGGGTTTGAACTGCCGCTCTTGTGGTTAGCAGTCCAAAGCCTAAGCCACAGTGCCATCAGACCCTGATGGGCATGGATTTACTAGCAGTCTGGCCAGAGTAGCTCGTGAAACTAGAGTATGTCAAGAAAGCCAAAACTACAGATTTCATCTTTCCTTCTGCAGTCTTTTTATAAACGTGTGCGCTGCTTATGTGAGGGACCTGCCAGTGTACTGCAGAGTAACTTACTACTTTTATCAGAAAATAAATGTCAATAAAAACTCTTGCCTGGAAGAACTTCATATTTTGATGGAATCTGCATTAGTTTTCTGGGTGCCCATTTATGATTTTGAATGATTTTAGCTTTCCAAAGACCAAGAAAATAAATTCTATTTTGTCCCTAGAGAAATGAACATTTACTTCAGAAAACAAAACTACGCTACCTTAACTCCTAGGTCTGGAGTTGAGATCTGGCTCCCTTTTTTTCACCATTTCACGATGAAATGTTTCTATGCGTCTTCAAATGTATGAAATGATTTGACAATGAATTTTCACTTTGGGTCTTATTTATATTTTATTTTGTTTTTTGTGAGAGTAGGAGACAAAGAGAGTGAGGATGAGAAGTCACCTTTCTAGTCTGCAGATAATTGTACATTACATTTCCATCCCTAAAGAGAAAACACACCGGAGCAGAAAGAGATTAGACTTTGGTTAGAATTGTCCAAATCCCAGCTACCTTATATGGGTAATGTGAAAATTAAATAAAATATGTACTGATACTTATGGTCCACGTAGTCAAGTGTTAAACGATCTAGTCAAGTGTTAAATATTAAAGTGTGTATTTAATATTCTGTTCATTGTGATGTAAAGACTTTTCTTTAAAATTCAATATATGTAGTCCTTCAGAGACATCCAGAGGCATCATAGTTACGTCAGAATTATAAGATAAAGCAAAATGAAATACTGTCAATTACAGCATGCTTTAAGGCTAAGTAGCAGTACAAGCCACAAAAGTTGATTCCATTGCTGACTGAAAACCAGTTTTTCTCAGTGTGTGATACTGAACCTTCAGGGAGCAGGAGTGATCTGGTGTGATTTGCAAAAGCAGATACTCAGACTTTAACCTGGATTACGGGGTAGAGTACGAAAGTTTTTAATTTCCAGGATAGTGTTGAGTGATTTCTTTCTCTTTTTTTCCTGAAAAGGGGGCAGTAGGGCCAAGTGAGTTTGGGACTGTACGGCCTAAATGATCTACACTGGATGTTTTAAGTCTTCTGAGAAAAAAGAATCGTGCCCTGACGATAGAGCTGTGCTCCCAGGAACATTTGCTTCAAGAACGCTCCTTTTGAAAATGCCCTTTGGCTGCTTTCACTGAACACATGACTTTCCACCACTCACTCTGTGCTGTAAGAAAACAGCCGCGGACATTCATAAACCACACAGAAATCTCCTCCGGCTAATCTGACTAAGAGAATCTAGGAGAATGATGTCTCTCAATTAGCTGAGAGGCTGGATTCCTTCATCCCAGACTCAGTTAAGATCCAAGTATGAACACGTTCCCAAGAACAGTTACAACAACGCATGCGCGCAGTCTGGCATTCCCTTGCCGTGTCCAGACGCACCTTGATTCATCAGGACCAGGCTTCCCGTGAGCAACGCCATGCAGTTGGTGGGCTGATGATTGTGTAGGTACTGAAACCCCCATCCTCTCCTGTAAGAAGTCTCGTACATGTAGCCCGAGGCATTGGCAATCACTTCAAGAAACTTCTCCTGTTGTGTCTTGCTCAGGTAGTTGTACAAGAAGTCGTAGGCAGTGGCAAAACCAACGAGGGAGTGAGCCAGTGGGACTTCATCCCAAGGAGCATCTTTTACTAACCTGTGAGGGCGGAAACAAAGCGAATGAGTGAGCAGGCCTCCCGGCTTTCATCGCATTCTTGCAAGGTTTGTTTCTCGGCAGTTAAGGACACGACTGAAGGCATGATCCAAAAGGTTTAACACACAGGGTTGCCTTAACTCCACGGAAGACACAAGCTTAACATCTGTCTCATGTGAAGATTACGGTTAGCAGTCTACTCGCAGGATCTGGCAATAGCAAGATGTTGAGAATTTCTCTTTTATTTTTTCACTTCTGGTGAAAGACACTCGCATATACTCAAAGAGATCTAAAGCCCATGAAGCAGCAGGGGAAATCTAAGAACATGTAGCAACAGGGCAAGATCCCCTTCAATCTCTATTCAACTCTTGCCTCCCCACCCTGGGAGGGTCTCCCTTTTATGCTGTGGCTGCCTTGCTAGCACAGTGGAAACAGTACACTCTATCTTATTTCTCATAGGCTGATCAGTTGGACGGGACCATGTTATATAGCTCATCACCTCTCAATCTGGACAAACCTACTTGGTCAGCAGCACCACGGCAGAGGGTGGGGCGGGGGGTTGAAGGGCTGATGTAAGCGAGTAAGATGAGCAGCTTCCAACTCAGCATTTCTGGGTCTCATTCTTTATCATCAAACGAACAGCCCTGCCTTCAAGTTCGTAAACTATCTTCCAAGGAAGTTTGAAAGCTGATCTTCTGGGAAGTATTGTCATTTTCTAGGAAGCAAATTTCTGCTACTTTGCTCTGTAAGCATTTTAATAGTGTGCTGTCTGTGCTAATCAGGATGCTGGAAAGGGGCTTCCCCAGGCAGAACTCCACTGAGTGATCCACAAAAGCCTCCCCATGGGAACAGGATGCATTAGAGTACTCTCCAGAGAGACAAGGAAGCTCCCACCACACTGAGGGAGGTAATTAGGGATTAGACCAAAGCTTAACACTTTCATGCCATGAACATCTTTTGACAATTAAGTGAAGCCTTGGCCCTTTCTCAAAATGTCTTAAAATTCATAAAATACAATATTTAGAAATACAAAATAATTGGCTACTTTAAAATAAAATGATCAAGATAGGTATTGTTCTAAAATGGTGAGACATGTGCTCCTTTACTAGGGCATTACTTAACAAGATTTAGCAGCAGGGATAATAATTACCAGAATTTCTAAGTCGTGATGAGCATAAGCAAGGTTTTGAGATTTCCACAACTGTAATGATATGAAAGCATTGGAGATGTCTATTGTGACAAAGTTACAGGTTCTACTAACATTATTTACTATTACAATGATGATTGGAAGAAATGCTAAATTTCAGTTAGCATTAGTGGATATTAAGATGTAACATTTCACCATAAAAATCCAGAGGACCAAGAAGTTTGTGAAACCCAAGTTAGGAATCCTTAAAAATGTCCTAATTTTTCTTCAAGAGCTTATATTCAAGAAGAGATCTCTTGGTTAGGCCTCCTTTGATCAACCTGTCAGAATTTCAACGTTCCCCTCAATGAACAATGCATTTCATTCCTCTTCCTCATTTTTGGGGTCTCCTTAGTTCTTACCACTATTTAAACATATTACATGTACTTCCTATTAGAAGATCTAATTGTAGGGTGACATTTTCCCCGATGTATTCACTATGGAGTTCCTCGATCCAATAACGATGTGTGGTACATGGTAGTCTCCATGCATATGTTTGGAAGTGTAAAAGGATCAAGACTATACAAGTAGGCAGCACTGGTGACCAGGAACCTGCGAGCATTATGGATCCACGAACCTGGAGGGATTCCTTTGTCACTGATATTCTCAAGAGCTGATTAGCCGTCCTCACTTGGAGCTAAAAACAATAATGTTGAAGCGTTTCTTAACCATTTGGAAATAGACAAAGCCATCTTGGTCTAGCCAGTCAACGAGCCGGGCTCTCTAAGTAGCCAGGGAGCAGGAATCAATTCCCGACTTTAAAATAAGCAAATAACTCACAGTGCAGGCCCGGAATGTTGGGAACAGAATCCTCACTGATGCGTGGTGTGAAGTGAGCCAGGCAGAGAATGCAAGCTCTTTGTCTTGTACGGTGGGTGTCTCTGAACCGTGCTGTAAAGCATCTATAAATTATAGCTTATACTCTTAGCTGTTGACAGTGCAGATGATGACAGTGAACGACGACTACTGGACTCTCCTGCATCCGATTAGCCAAGAACTTTATTTTTATAGACAATACTTTTAGTATAATTTAATTTTTGTCCTTCAGGAAATACTATTATTGAGAAATAAAATTTCTCAGAAAATATCCTATATAGTTTGCTATTTCAAGTAGTTTCCAATTCAACAACATACTCCTGTACTATCAAAAACTGTTTATGGCACCTTCAGGTTTATCACATTATGAAATTTGATCTATATTTCTTAAAGGTGAGCTAAAACCTTTATTATCATCTTGTCCAAACTCAGATACCAAGACAAAATACAATTAATGGAAGACAATATTTTACTGTCATGAGAAACAAAAGGAAATTTCTTCCCAGCTCATGGGTAGCAGAGAAATTATTTTATTCAGTGTGATCCTTACCAGTGATTAATCAATTCACTGGATATGCTAGTTAAGGGGAAATTTTTAAAAAAGATATTGGGATATTAATGAGTGGTTTCATATGTACACACATTCGCCAATCTTTTGAAAGAGAGCTGGTGCCTTTTCTTTGAATACAGATCCACTGACTAGAGTTTCTTGTTCTTACTTGCTTGCTGAGAACAGATCAAACTTTCCAGCTTTGGTTTTCTTAAACTATAGGAAGACATTAAAGAAACTTGTGAAGTAAGTTTGGATTGAGTTTTCCCTAATCTTTCACAAATCTCATCTGTAGTAAATTATGGCCCCAATTTTTATAATAATTCTTTACAAAATAATCACTGCTTTTAGAAGCATTAAATCTTTTTTTATTTTTGAACTCATACTTCAGAATAAAACACAATATTATTAAAATTGTATAAGTACAGGTCTGAGTCAGGTTCACATAAGCTGGTTTAAGAACAAATACCACTGATACCTGTGAAGCCCCAGCTCTAATAGTGGGAGTAGAACACTAGAGAGCAGCCTCCCTACCCCAACACTTGGGGTCAGCATGCTGTGAGAATGTGACATAAGGAATGGAGCCTGATTTCTTGGAAAGTTCGTTACGAGGTGGCTGGTTAGGAAAGCTATTATTGTGTTCCTCTTGTAGGCTACCCACTTGCCTCTTAGAGCAAGTGTCATCAAGGTAAGGTCTGTGGATCCCCAGAGTGTTTAAGAGTTTAGTTGACTTTTTTAAGAATAACACTATTTTATATCATATGGTGATATTTGCACTATAGTGCAAAAGCAATACTGGGTAAAAATTGCTTGCACCTAGGAAAAAAATAGGCAAGGGGGCCAAAAGTTACTAGTTGTCCTTGTATTCTGCACTTACAGTCCTTACTGTAAATAAACAAGGTCACTCTCATTTCAGACGGTCCTTGATGAGGTAGTAAACATAAATTTTGATAAAATCACACCTGGGGTACACATGCCTAATATTCTGTAAGATGAAATGAGAGGACACGGAAAGTTCATATGCTGCATTCCGAAGTATAATCCCTGTCACAAGGGAAAGCACTCCTGCAACAGCTTCAGTGAGGAGCTGAACGACACTGCCGCCAAGGTGATTGTGACTCAGTGGACCTGTACGGTAGAGTAAACTGCCCCTTAGCGTTTCCAAGGCTGTTCCTCCTAGGAAAGCTGACTGCTATATCTTTTTCCAACAGAGCTGATAGGTTCAAATTGTGGGCCTTTGATTAGCAAGCAAATGTTTTAACCCTTGTGCCACTACTCTTACATGAAAGAATGACTTAGTGACTACTTACTCTGTCTGTATTCATTACTCTGTAGATCAATTCAAGGAAAACCGACAGCATTTGTTGCCAAGATAAAATTTGAGTTTTCATGAAAAAATAAGAAAGTTGGAAAACTTGACTTGTATTTACTACCAGTAGCTTAAAAGCTTACTGATATGTAAAGATTGTTCTGATGCGATCAGCCCCTGATGGCACAGTAGGTCAGCAGTTCAAGTCTAACTGCTCTGTAGAAGAAAGACGTGGCTTCCTACTCCCCAACACTTAGTCTTGGAAACCCACCTGGCAGTTCAGTCCTGTCCGCGGGGGCTTCGAGTTGGAAGTGACTCAATGGCAGTGAGCTTGAGTCTTTTGTTTTCTTTAATGAAATCATGATAAAATGATAGAATGTGATTTAAAATAAATACATAGCTCGATGTACCAACAATAGGAAGACTGAAATAACCCAATAAATATAAAATGTACAAAAATGACATAGGCATAATGTTAACAAGCCAAGCATGAATAAGAAGAGCCAGCTATATGCAAAATGCACCAATGGATTCTGGTGCAAAAGACTTCTGAATTTATTAACATGATTTCAGACACCATACCCAAACAGCTAACGGTTAAGAAACTACCACTAGTCAGGTTTTGGTACAGTATCAAAGTCAAGTATTCATAATTATCTAAAAAGTACTTCACTTTCAATTTACTGTGAGGCTGGGTTTTCGTCATATACTTCAGCCAACACAACGTGTCACAACAGACTGAATGCAGGAACAGAAACTGGCAAATACTGGGCCATCCAAAATGCCATCGTTCTCATTTAATAGTTGCAAAAAATATTAACATGCCTTCAAAATATTCCAAAATAAGACCAATTCTAATTTTCAAATGACAAATTAGTCACTTCATTATAAAAGAGCTCTAAAGACAATAACCTGATAGAAAGTTAATCAATTTCTACCCACATAACTATGTTTGGAAACAATTGCCAATTTTAAAAAAAGCTTAATATAGTAGTGATTCATTTAATTTTCCTCCGGTAAATTAAATGTACAAACTAACCATGACTGTTATGTGTCGGCAGTATGCTAAATTGTGTGAGCAGTGCCTATAGAATTCAGCTGTAACCCCAAACCAAACTCACTACCGCTGAGCCGGTTTCAAC